CTCCAGAAATGGAGCTCAGGTTGCCAAGCAAGGTTGCTGGGATTACAGATGTGTCAATACCTGACTGTAAAAATATGAAATTTTGAGGTATAAATTTAAAAGGGTGTATAACATGTATAAATTAAAGATTTAAATAAATTTAAGTGGCTTCATGACTCAGCATTGTTAAAAAAAAACCAATTCTCCACAAATAGGCATAGATTTAAGATAACTAAAAGTAAAATTTCATCAGGATTCGTGGTAGAAATAGCATGATTATTCTAAAATTCATACAGAAATGTAGAAGACCTAAAATTGCTTTCAAAAGGATGAACAAGGTTAGCAGCATTATGCCAATTCAATATTTATCAAAGAGACAGAGTAACCACATTAGACTGATACCAGTGTAACTAGACAATGGGTCAATGAAACACAATACAGCATTCAGAAATAGATCCAAATTTATAGGAAATTGACTTCCAACAAATGGACAAAAGTGATTTTCAGGACAAGTTCCAAAGCTACAGAGAAACCCTGGCTTAAAAAAAAAAAACACACAACTAAAAGAAAGTTTCCATCTAGAGAAAGACAGAGAAGACATTTGGACAGAGGCCACGGTGTTCTGGTTATCAAGTGTCATACATACAGTGACCATAAGCAGATCTACTATAATATAGAACATCATACTGGAGCATAACACATTTCATCGGAAAGAAATGGTTTGCCTTGGGTAAAAACAAACAAGAAGGACTCTTCCCGTGAATCAGTGTTCTCATGCCTCAAGTACACTGACTGTGGCTCAATCCAGGTGGGAAAAAGAGTCAAAATAAATGGACATGCTATTTGACTCACGGTTCCATTGTCAATACAAATCAACTTTCATCAACTTTATGAACTGAAGTTCAATCTGAAGAATTCTTTGAGGCCAGATGTGATAGTACATGTTTTTAATCCCAACCCTCAGGAGGCAGAGATAGGTGGATCTGTAAATTCAAGGTCAGCCTAGTCTACAAAATAGGTTTCAGAATACTCAGGCTATATAGAGAGACCCTGTTTTGCTTTGTTTTGTTTTGTTTTAAATGCTTTGGGGGTAAAAAAAATCTGAGATTTCTCAGAAAAATAGGAAATCAATCTACCTCAAGACCCAGCAGTACTACTCTTGGGCATATAACCAAAAGAGGCACACTCACATCACAAGGACATTTGCTCAACTATGTTCCTAGCAGCATTATTTGTAATAGTCAGAACCTGGAAACAACCTAGATGGCACTCAACCAAAGAATGGATAAAGAAAACATGGTACATTTACACAATGGAATACTGCTCAGCTGTTTAAAACAAGGACATCTTTAAATTTGCAGGCAAATGGACGAATTAGAAAAAAACCATCCTAAGTGAGGTAACCCAGACCTAGAAAGACAAACATAGAATGTACTCACTCATAAGTAGATACCAGACATAGAGCAAAGGATAAGCAGCATATAGTCCACAACCCCAGAGAAGCCAGAACCGTCTTCCAGAAACAGATGGAAGCAGAAACAGAGATCCACAACTAACCACTGGACCAAGCTCCAGGCAAAGAGAGGGATGAGCGATAATACAAACAAAGGGATCAAGATCACTATGGGGAAATCCACAGAATCAGCCAACCCATGGAAGATCACTCCAGACTGACAACTGGGGAACCTGCATAGGACCGAACCAGGCACCCTGAATACAGGTAACAAGGGTGTGGCTTGGGCAGTATTTGGAACACTGGCAGTGAGACCAGTGTAATCTGCTGGCCTGGTTTGTCACCCAGGTACCCTGTCCCTTTAAGAGACACGCCCCATCATCCACTCCTAACCTCCCCCTTCTGCTAAGGCAAACTGATCTCTCTCTCTCTCTCTCTCTTTCTCTCTCTCTCTCTCTCTCTCTCTCTGTGTGTGTGTGTGTGTGTGTGTCTCTGCCCTTCTTCTGGAGAGACAGCTTCTGCCTCTCTCTCTTCTCCCCACCTTCTCCCTCCATGACTCACTAAATAACTCTATACCCAAACTCTCTCTGCATGGCTTATCAGTCTGTCTCCCACAGAGGCCTCAGGCCACCCACCAGGGAACCCGCCACCACCTCTCATGGGATCGGTCCCCCACCATCTCTTTATAAATAACAACCAGTCTCTAACCCTAACACATGAACTGACTTTGTGGAGCCCGTTCTCTATGGAGAGATGCCTTGCTCAGCCTCGGCATGGGGGGTGGAGGAGTTGGTCCTGCCTTAACAAGGTGATGGGACAGACTTAGTTGACTTCCCAGGGGAGGCCTTAACCTCTCTGAGGAGCAGATGGGGGGTGAGGTGGGAAAAAGGGGGGAGCAGGAGGAAAGGAGGGAGAGGGAACTGGGATTGGTATATAAGAAAGAAAGAAACAAATAAACAGACAAAGAAAGAAACAAAGAAAGGAAGAAACAAAGAAATAAAGAAGAAGAATTTAAGAAATCTGTTATAAACAAGCTTGATGTGGGACTCCCCTCTGTATGCTGTGAATATCACTGGTTAATAAAGAAGCTGCTTTTGGGCCTATTGCAGCGCAGAATAAGGCAAGGTGGGAATTCCAAGCAGAGAAGGAGAGAGTAGGCAGCATCAAAGAGTAGTCATGTAGCAACTGCAGGAGACAGACACTGGATTGCTGGACAGAATCTTGCCAGTAGACCACAACCTGGTGATGATGCACAGATGTAATAGAGATGTGTTGATTTAAGATGTAAGAGTTACCTAAAAATATGCGTAAGCTAATAGGCCAAGCAGTGATTTTGTGTGATTATTTTGGGTCTGGGCGGCCTGAAAACAAATAAGCAGCCTCCGCCAACACAAGCTTTTCTTTAAAACTCCAACATGAACCATCAAAAGATTTAGTAAGAAATTAAGATTAGCATTTGAAGCAGTTCTGGTAATAGTGCTAAGAATAGAATAAAGAACTGTAAGATCAGAAGGAAATGAAAACATTGTTAAAAAAAAAAAGAAAAGAAAAACTGATAATTAAATCTGGGTAGTAAGCAAATATTCAGATGCGTGCCAAATAGTCTGCTATGTCCTGACTTCAGAACAAGAAGACAAACTCAAGAGTCTGACTGGGAGATGCTCAGTGGTTAAGAGCACTTGCCGATCCTGCAGAGGACCCGGATCCATACCTACATGACAGCTCAAACTGTTCTAACTCTGTTCCAGGGATTTGCTGTGTCCTCTGTGACCATAGTCACTAGGCACACAGAGTATACATCCATACACATAGGAAACACACTCACCTAAAATATAGTACATAAATGTTTAAAAACATAAGGCACATTTAATAAAAAAGAAATCATGACTGATTCAAATGGGGAGTTAACCTGGGTCTGGGGACACAATTCATTAATGCAGCTATGCAAGAGGCTGCACCAAGTTCAAGACCTGCCTAGGATGCAGTCAGTTCAAGGTCTGCCTATCTAGGAAACTTAGGGAGACCTGTCTCAAAAACAGAAACAAACTTACAAGGGCTGGGGATACAACTTACTGGTAAAGCACTTGCTTAGCATGTTCCTGGTCCTGGGGTCCATGGCCAGGATTGGGAAAAGAAAAATATAGGAGGTAAAGAAACAAGAAATAATCTGGAAATAACCTAGTAATGATACACGAAAATGATTTAAACTTAGAATACAGTTCTGGAGAGAGGCTCAACAATTAAGAGCACTGTTAACTCTTCCAGAAGATGTTGATTCATTCCCAGCACCCATATAACTGCTCAGAACCATCTGTAAGTCCAGTTCCAGGAGATCTGGTGATCTCCTCTGGCTTCCATGGCACACACATGGTTCACAGACAGACATGTAAGCAAAACACTCATATACATAAAATAAATGCATCTTAACAAAAATAAAAAACAACAGAACACAATCATAATGCCTCATCTCCAATAAGATAAGCACTGACCAGAGCACATCTATGCTGAAGAAGGGCAATGGAGAAAATGCAACGAATTGCAACTATATTTCTTGAGCACCTGTCCCAGATGATTTACTAGATATATATAGAAAATTAGAATCATCCTTAAATGCCAATAAAAAATCTTAATTGCCAAGATACTTCAATGAATTTCAAAAGTGACTAAAAGTTTGGCAATTTTTCTGTGAGATACGGATTCCTAACTGCCTCCATGGAGTCAAGATGGGCAAGGATGGTGAATGGGCCAGGCCATTGTATCAGAACTGCTGAGGAGCAAACAGACACAAGCTTACTAACTGCTGATTACCCCGAGGACAGCTATATAACTAGTTGGACAATTTCACGAAGGTTTCTTTTTTCGTCTTTTGTTTGGACCTGATGTGTCCATGTGTGTCTGTGTGTGTACACTGCCCAGGTCAGCCCTCAACTCCAGATTCTGCAATCCTTTTATTTGGACCTGACGTGTCTGTGTGTGTACACTGCCCAGGTCAGCCTCCAACTCCAGACTGCTACCCTTCCGTCTGAGTATCCCAGATAGCTGGAACTATGTGCAGGTGGCACAGCCCCACTGACAGCGAGTCTTCAAAAGAGACACAGAAGGCAAGAACAGAGTGGCGAAAAGGCTGCAAAACTGCAAATTGATTCCATTTCCACAGTCAGAACTCCTGGTTTAAATGATAAAGATCACAATTAATATTAAACACAAAATAAACTCTTACGGCCTTCAATGAAGAATGAGAAGTTATCGAAACATTTCGATGATTAAGAGTCTTCAGACCTCAGTAATCCTATTAGACTATGAAGCCATACCCAGTAAAGCATCAAATGCCAGCTGCTGTTGCAAAATAGCTGGCTGCACACCATAAAACTCCCTTGTGCAACATCAGAAAAGGACAATTACAACTTTCTTAGTTGCCAAACCTTGTAAATTTAAAAAAAAAAAAGACATTGTAAATAAGGATTTACATAACTTGTAGCTACCTACTTTCAAAAACTGAAATTTCTTTATGTGGGGCACAGTACGTGCTTCGAGAAAGGAAACCAGAACTGGGGAACAGAAGTATTACCTGGGCAGGAAATTCAGACAAAGGGTCCCTATTCCTGGTGAAAGCCAGCAGCCAGCTGCCAGGGCTTCTTAGCCTCTTCTGGTACTCACTTAGGTGAGTGTGCAATTCACAGCGCACCAATCTCCACCACAGCCAGCAGCGGATGCTGTAGGGAATGGGGACACAGGGGACACAGAAGGGGGCAAGTTTAAGGGAAGGAAGAGGAGAGGAGTGAAATATTCAGCTGTGATGTGCTCACAAAACACAGTTGTATCTCATACCAAAGTACTTTACAGTCAGACACTGCTTACATTTGAATACACCTTAACCCCTTAGGAATTCCTTAGCCTCTGGACCACTGCCATTACTCTACTACGTTATATTCTTTATTTATTTTTTATTTTATTTTATTTTAATTTTTGAGACAGGGTTTCTCTGTGTAACAGTCCTGGCTGTCCTGGAACTCGATTTTTAGGCCAGGCTGGCCTCAAACAAAATCACAGAGATCCACCTGCCTCTGCCTCCCAAGTGCTGGGATTAATGGTATGTACCACCACACCAAGTCTACGTCAATTTTTAACCACTTTTATTTGTTTATTTGGTTGGTTGGTTGGTTGGTTTTTTGAGACAGGGTTTCTCTGTGTAACTTTGGAGCCTGTCCTGGAACTGGCCCTGTAGACAGGCTGGCCTCTAGTCTATGTAATAAAAACGAGAGAGTTGTGTAACGTAAAGGATATACAAAGGCTGAACTTAACATTAAATAAATAAATTCAGACATTCAAAAAGGCAAGCAACCTACAAATACAAATTACCACATCAGTTTAACTGCCCAAATCAAAGAAAACTGTATTTTCATTTCTGAGAATACTGAAGCATAACGTTACCTGTGAAAAATAATCCTGTCTAGCGTGGTGGCTCACATCCTTACTGGCAGTACTCAGGAGGCAAAGGCAGGTGAACTGCTTGCTATTTGTGCTCAAGACCAGTCTGGACTAGCTACAAAGTGAGTTCCAGGACAGCCTAAGGCATGGTACTAGACCCTGCCACTAAAGTGAAAAAGAAAGAAGAAAGGAAGGGAGAGGGGGAAGAGCAGGAAAAGAAGAGAAATAACTTACAAACCAGAGCATGTCCCAGTAATGAACTGTGTCTGGATACACAAGTGTATTACAGAGTCTGGAGCAATGCACCAGCAGTTAGAAGCTGACTTTAAAGGCAGTAGCTGCTCTTCCAGAGGACCCAGGTTCGATTCCCATCACCTACTTAGTTAGCTGTTCACAAGTGTCTGTAACTCCAGTTCCAGGGAATCTGACACCCTCTTCTGGCCTCCAGGAACACTTCAGATATGTGGTGCATAGACATACATGCAGGCAAACACTCATAAAAATAAATAGAATCTCAAAACATTAAAAAATTAAGTTAGAGAACCAATGTATTATCCAAAAAATTTAATCTAAATTCTTTGAATGTCAAATTTTTAAATCTACCAAAAAGATATATTAAGAACAAACAATTTATAACCTATGTGTACAGTAAGGAGACAGCTTGTTGATCCCCAGCTGCCCAGCCTCCTAAAATAACCACACAGAAGCTGTATTAATTAAATCACTGCTTGGCCTATTAGCTCTAATTTCTTATCGGCTAGCTCTTACATATTAATTTAACCCATTTCTATTAATCTGTGTATCACCACGTGGCTGTGGCTTACCAGGTAAAGTTCCGTCCAGCATCTGTCTCTGGCAGGGCTTCTTGGCTTCTCCTGACTCTCCCCTCTTCCTCCCAGGATTCAGTTTAGTTTTCCCCACCCACCTCTGTTCTGCCCTGCTACAGGTCCAAGCAGTTTCTTTATTCACTAATGGTAATAACAGCACACAGAGGGGACTCCCACATCATATGTGCTTTATGGAGGTCAAAGGAGTCTAACTTTTAAAAATTTAACTAGTTTAACTTTCTGGTGTGTGTTGCCTGCATGTATGGGCAACACATGACTGTCTTGTGCCAACAGAGACCAGAAGAGGGCACCAGACCCAGTCAAACTGGACTTAAGGATAGTGGAGGACCACTGTGGGCACTAGGAACCGAAAGGAGGGCCTCCGCATGAACAGCAGGTGCTCTTAGCTGCTGAGCTGCCACCCCCTTGTATGAATTCCTTTCTCCAGGCTATTAAATGTGTTTCTGGACAACTTGTACATACCATTTCTTCCACAGACGCTACAGAAGCAAGAGGAACAACAGAATCACAGTCACTGGCTTTGAACATCAGGGTATTCTGTCCATAACAAGAATGCAAACTGCAGAATTAACAACGACAACAACAAAAGACGGTGTGTGTGTGGGTGTGTGTGTGTGTGTGTGAGAGAGAGAGAGAGAGAGAGAGAGAGACCAAGTAAGTCTGAAAATGCACATCAGTAAAGACTAGGTTCATTCAAACTGCCCACAGGAAATGTCCCTGTAAAATGAAACCTGAGCAAAGACGATCTTTCCTAAAGGGATGTAGGCAACCTAGTTTCCAAAACATGCCAATTTGAAGCCTTACCAATTCATCCTGTAAAATCATCTCTTCATAAACCAAAAGATAACCACACAAGAACACTTCCATTGTTCTTGCCAGGCTAATTGGCTGCACAGTCTAACACAAGTCATACATTGAAAAAGGCATGGAGGCATCTCCATCCCATATGAACACTTATTCAAATCAACATATTTGAAAACAATCTCTGATAGCCTGCTTCCCTATCGTAGGCACACACTGTCAGGCTCCAGCCTTGATACGTTTGTACATTCCAGGGTAGGGGTGTGTGGATTAGAAATGTTAGGCAAGAAACAGAGATATGAAAGAAACACAGAGATACAGGATAGAACTGGGAGGGCTACCCAGTGAATGCTGAATACTGAATATACCCGCATTTATTTTCCATATGCTTATATACCCTAATCCAAAAATGAGGGAAGAAGGCAAAAGACTGCTTTATCATGACACAAAGGACAAACAGAACAGTTACTTGCTTCAATACTTGAGACATTAAATCACTATTTCCTGAGTTAAGCATTCTGTTGATTTAGGCAGGACATGCAGTAACTAAACCTTAGACCAAGTATCCTGTAGGTTTAAGCCACTGGTTTAAACTTCCTGTCTTAAACATGAAAGAGTAGGAATAGGCTTGAATTCTCTGACTTTCGGTCAACGAGGAGCAGATACACCTCTATGGGCCATCTTAATATCCAAGTTGCCAAGTAACCACACCCTAGGTGAGGACACCTTGTTTATAGCCACTCAAGTCAGACCTCTTGTCAATAACTTTGAAAGTACAAGAGTAGGCTTAAGCTCTCTGACCTTCAGTCAAGGTGGAGCAGGCCCACTTCTGTGGCCCCCGCACTCCCCCAGCAGTATCTCCAAGTTAGTTAATGAGAATTCCATCTGTCAGTGCATCCTTTACTGCTCTCCCTTCTTAGGCAGTATCTTATCTGTCAGACAATGCTGGCTCTGCTTCCAAAGTACAGCCGAAAACTGACTCTCGGCAACTCCAAGGCATCTATCTACCTTGCTAATATTTTTTTAACCTAAATAGTTAACCCTCTTCATTGGCTTATTATGTCTTCTCTTGTCCTGTTTCTCACACGGCTGCCAAGGTGACCCTTGGCTGCAAACGTGCCACTGGTTTTCAACCTCACTTCAGGGTGAAAGCCAGTCATTACCAGTTCCCACTCTGATACTGGATATAAAGAAACTTTGCCCAGTAATTATGAAATAAAACCTGAAACTAGCCGAAGAAGACTCGATGAAGAGCACTGGCTGCTCTTCCAGAGGAGCTGGGTATGAGGACCTATACTGTCTACCTAGTCAATGCTGGCCTCTAACCCACAATGTAGCAAAGAATGACCTTGAACTTCCTGAGTTTCCTTCTCCACAGCACGCATCTACGATTATAGGCATGTGCCACCACGCCTCCCCATTTCTAACAGAGCCTAGACAGAACTCCGGACTCTGTGCCCAGTAGCCCAGCATTCTATATCCAGAGTCGGAGATCCTACATCTTTTGTATCTGTCCTTCGACATGATCTGGACTTGGTTGTTGTTGAGTGGGGATCAAACCCAGGGCTTTGAGCAGGTCAAACAAGTGCCTCATCAGTGAGGCACGTGATCCCCAGCCTTGGCCTCTAGTTCACCTCACTGGAGGCCCAACACGTTTCAAAATGACATGTGAGCAACCGCCTTGGCAGCTGTTTGCATTTGCCCCAGCCACCTCTTCCTTCCGGGAGTCCTGTCAAATACATCCCAGCTGACCAGCACACCCAAGACCAACTAGAAACCCCTCCCTCTCTTCCAGCCTTTCCATTATTTCTTACAATAGCACTTAACACACTGTTACATGTTTCACTAATTACTGTTTATTAAAATGTCAACACCATGATTGTGGGGATTTTTATCTACCTTTCTTATTGCTATAGTCTCAGTACTAGAGAGCAGTATTTCATGTAAAGCAGGCACTCAGTAATTTATTTGTTAAAAAAATTAGTATGACTATTATCAACATACATATCACTAGGGATTACATTAAAATGTAATTTAAAAACAAATGCATAAATAGACAAAATTACTTTTAAGTAACCTCAAATCTTATAAAAGTAAATTCATTTGTCCAAAAAGTAAATCAGTTTTCTCTCAGTTGCCTGCTCTAAGTCAGCCAACTCCCACAAATTTCACACCGCAGCACAGTTTAGAAACAGGCTAAAAACCCTACTTACGATTCCTTGACCAGAATATAACCCATTAAAATCCTCCTTGCATCCGTAATGCTCAACATGTGGTAAATGTAAGTGCTCAGGACCTTGGACACATACTGTCCCACAGGTTAGGAACCTTTATCACAGAAGGGAAGCCTGTGGGCCAGAGGTCAAGACCCACGTCTGAATTCTCAGCACGTGGGAACTGCAGGTGGGAAGCCAAGAGGCCCAAGCTAGAGCTGATGAGGTGGCTCAGTGAGTAGGGATGTTTGCCACCTAACCTGCTGACCTAAGTGACCTCCCGGGACCGACTCCCACGGGCTTCTGCTAACTTCACACACGCACACATGGCATGCACGGACCTCACACACACAATAAACAAAAATGTTCAGAGTTCCAGGCAAGGCTGTGCTATCTAGCAAGACCTTGCCTCAAAATAAAACA